GGGCCGGCTCCGGCGCGGAGGATGAAGTGGAGCGTCCGCGGGGCCTGCGCCGCGCTTTCCTCCAGCCTGCTGCTCGCCTGCGCGCTCAGCGCCGCCGCCGTCGGCCTCAAGTGCTTCTCGCTGGGCTCTGAGCTGCGCGGGGAGCCGTTCCGGCTAGGGGCGGCCGCCGGCGCCTTTTACTCCGGGTTGCTGTTGGCCGCCGGCCTCTCACTGCTCGGCGCCGCCCTGCTGTGCTGCGGGCCCCGGGAGGCGCCCCTCGCCGGGTCAGGGGCCGGGCCGGGCTCGGGACTTGGGGTCCCCGCATCTCCAACGGGCGCTCCGGAGCCCTCTCCTGGAGAGACGCGGGCGGCTGCCGGGCCCTTGGGGCGGGTGAATAGCCAGAACCTGCTGCTTCTAGGCGTCCTGGTCTTCATGCTCGGGGTCCTCAGCGCCTTTGCAGGAGCAGTGATCGACGGCGACACAGTGTCCCTGGTGGAACGCAAGTACTCCCACTATTGCCTGCCCCCGCGCACGCCGGCCGCTGTCCCTGGCCCGGCTCCCGGCCCTGTAGCCCCGGGCTCCAGCACGCCGCGCGCCCGCAGCACCCTGGACAGCGCCACGTCCGCCAAATGCCGCCAGCTGAAGGACTACCAGCGCGGCCTGGTGCTCTCCACTGTATTCAACTCGCTCGAGTGCCTGCTGGGCCTGCTCAGCCTTCTGCTGGTCAAGAACTACAAGTCGTCGCAGGCCAGGCGCGGCAGGCGCGGCCGACGGAGGGCAAGCCGGTCTTTGGCGCGGCCGCGGGGCGGACCCGGGCTCCGCGCTCAGCCTCTAGCCTCCCGGACCCGGCGTGGCCGCCGGGGCAAAAGGGGGCGGCGGCTGCAGCCACGGCCCAGCGAGGCCTCCATCCTATCCCCGGAGGAGTCCGACTTCACCACCCCAGGAGACTGCGCGAGCTTCGCGGCGCACCACGCTGTGTCCTACATCAACGTGGGCGTCTTCCATGCGTTTGATGAGGCGGGCGTGGAGGTGTGCTGTGGCGGGCATCCGTCGGTAGAGCTGCCAGGGTACGCGCCCTCGGACCCCGACCTCAACGCCTCCTACCCCTATTGCTGTCGGCCGCCCGGAGAGATGGCGCGCCCTTGGGAGCCTAGCCGGGCCTGCTGAGTCCAGGCCCTATCTGCCTGGGACATCCGAAAGGGCAGCAGTCGGGCTTTGCTTGGCGTTGTGCCTGCGTGTGGCTTGGCACTTTTCTGGCCCGGCCCTGTGAGATCTGCGAGACCCTAGGACACTCCGATATTCTCCTTTCTGTGTGAGGAGGTGTCTCCCTCTATGTCATTCGTTTCTGGACTCCATTTAAAGTTTACAATAAATGTTTGGGGTGGGCTTGCAGATCACACTTCTGTTACACAAGTCCGTGCTCCAGGACTGCGCTCGGAGGTCCTGGGTCGAATGGGCAAGAACAGAGTGCTCATCGAAGGTGAATTTCGTGTAGAGGACCTCGGCTGAGAGTACAAAGCGGTTGGAACTGCAGGAACAGAAGTGAAGAACAGCCAACAGCAACACTTTGTACCCGGATGTGCCTGCTTCTGTCGACACTTTCTTACTGTAAAGCTCTCCATAAACAGTGAAATGTTTGGTAAATTTATTGCAATTTGACATTGGTGAGTTCCTTTATTAAATTGGTTGCTATGTTATTGGAGAATGTTCATCAGCTTGGAATTAGAGGATGTCTACACTCAAGTCAGCATGGGGGAGAGTGGCTGAATTGGGACAGACAAATGCTGAGTTAGAACAGCTGTGTTCTGCTAGCTGGTTGACGAGGTCCAACCTGTCTCTGAGCTAACTGCTGCGCGTGGAGACACTGATGCCAGACCCCTGCATTTCTGTTTTTGGAAACTGGCTGTGTGGTTTCTACTGCAAAGCAGTAGGTTTTATTTTTGGTTAATACATATGAACAGTTTAATCCTATTTTGAAAAATCAAAGTCCTAGTTTTTCTGCAAAGATAAATTTCCTGTTAACTCAATAATCTGGTAATTTTGATTATATAGCATTTCATTTAAAGTACACCACTTTAATAGCCTTAATGAATGTGAAGGACATAACTTTAAGTGAGTTTAATATGCGTGTAACCATTTACACACAAATGAAATGAGTTCTCTATGACCAGAGTGTCTCCATCCTTCTGGTGGGCTGGCTGGAAGTCAAGCAGGCTCTAAGTTTTGGAAAAAGGTGATCCGACTTTCATGTGCCTGGACTAGTGAGACCAGGCAGGTAGCGACTCACAGGCCAGCTGAGAGCAAAGCCCTGGCCCAAAAGGTGTGCCTCTTTCATGTGGAGAAGGGGAGCATCTCCTCTGCGTGTGCAAATACCCATACCAATCATCAGAGGCCAGAAGAGTCATGGAATCCTGGGTAGTGTCTTCGATGTGCAAAAGGCTACTTCTGTGAAGAAGCCCCCTGTTTAAGGAGGGGCACAGTTCCCAGTTGCAGGCTGTGTGATGGTACCTTTCCTCAACTCCCAAATGCCCTGCTCAGAGCTCCCCTGTATCTTTGGTGACTGTAGGCATCTTACCCCAGGTGGGACCTAGCAAGCTGCCCTCTACAGCAAGGGCACTAGAGGAGGAGGGTACCCCAATCCCATTTCCATGAAGAGCAGTGAGGTCCATCACCAGCCATGAGCCAGTCTCTGGTGGTGAGAACCGGTGCTTGGACATTTCCTTTGAAGCTTGAGGATCGATCAAAGAGTCAGTCCTCACAACTATATTGAAGCCACCCAAGGAAAAGCCATCACTCATGGCTAGCTTTCTTGGTTTCCATTTATATCTTTGATATCTTGGGGCAAGGTGAAAAAAAAAAAAAAGGCTAAGCCTGATTTGCTGGTCCTGCTGTTGGTCTATTCAGTCCAGCCCTCCTGTGCTACATTAGTAGCTAACTGGCCATCAGCCTAAGCAGAAATGTTACAAATGGCAGCATAAGCTGACTTAAGATGCTTTCTCCTATCTACTCAAATCCAAGCATGTGATATTGCCAGGTGTTTCCAAGTGAGAGCAGAGACCTCACAGGTGGATATAGGCCACTCTCCTGGGTCCACTCAGGAGCCTTGTGGATGAGCACAAGCAGCCTGGGTGGAGTGAATTTATAGGCTGCATAGATGCACCAAGTTAGTCCTCATTGGACCTTTGTTTTTTTTCCTAAGGTGTTTAAGTCTCGCACATTTTACATAGCTCAAAATGTTAGATGCCTTATGAGTCTTTCAAGGTCAGTGGCCTCTTCATTTCAGATTTTTCTTGGAATGGAAGTTTTGCAGGAAGGACTGGGGTGGGCAAGGCCAGAGGCCAGGGAAGGCAGAGCATTATGACGTTTGTGCATATTGTCTGACCAGGGAAGCAGGGGAACCTGGGATGAGGAAGATGGGGACTTTCCCCAGACCTAGGCAAAGTATCCTCTTCCACAAGACCAATGAATTAGATGAATGCTTCAAGATTTGGTGTTCCTAACTCACAAGCCCATAAATATTGTTATCTCCACTTTTACAGAGGTGAGTATGAGATGTGGGATAGCCAAGTTTCACTTTTAAAGCTTACTGGAGAAAAGAAATCCCACTGTTGTTGAAGTCAGTTTCTTATAAAGATCAGTTCTCAGGGAACGTGGCATAGAGAGAGGATCATGAGGCTGCTGCCACCCCACTCCACACTCCAAATCACAGCAGCTTTCATTCATGTCCACTCTTCTCTCCTGAAGCTTTAAGTAGTTGTTCAAGCTGATTCTTTACGTTACTTAGTAAATAAGTCACTTTTTGGCCTTTCTTCCAAAATTAGACACAAATACATCTTAGTATTTTTACATGCTAAATACTATTTGTAAGGCATTATTTGTTCAGCAGAAGCTCACTTTCCTTAGGGTTAATTGTAAGGGGCTAGGACATGGCATGAACTTCATCAGAGAAACTGCCAAGCAAGCCATGTTTTATTACAGAATCAGTGGACACTAATACCTGCATCTTCATGCATTGCCTTAGAAGGATGACAGGAAGTAACACTACACATGGTTTCTTGTGGTGTTTGAGGCCAGGTCAGATAAGTGAAGTCTGGGCAACTGACACACAAGTGGAATCCATTCTTAGCTTTGTAGCCTAGCTGTGGGCCCCTGGTCTTACACTGACATCTTCCTGTTAAGTTTATAGCAGGATGAACATACAAGAGCTCCCTGAGGCCACATCAAAGTACAAACAAGCAGACAGAGAAGACCATTACCAGTGTCAAAGCATTTCAGTGGGTTCATGGTGAGATGTTCTGGGATCAGCTGTCAGGCTTAATCCCCAGCCTCCATGCATGTTACTCGGAGCCTGCTACATGCAACTCTAGTGTTGATCACTTGGCACATCCTTGTGAATGTACTTGTCCTACAGTATCCCCCAAAGTCATCATCACCCCCCAATATTTCTTCTCACTAAGATCTCAGAGGAAAGTAATAAATGGCAGAGACCTCAAAAAAATGAGCTGGCATATAATTAAGCACTAGTAGCTTATATACCTTATCTGAGAGCACTGCTGTGGCCGCATGTCAGCAGGTGTAATTTCAAGGGCCCAATATCCCAGCTTAGTTTACTGCTTAATCAACAGAAAAAAGATCCCAAAAGGGAGAAAGAAATTAATTTAGGACAGTAGCAAGCAACTATCCTTATATTCTCAAAACTGAAATCTGAGCAGTTCCTGGAATAAGAGGAGAAGCCTGGTTGTCCTGTTGCTAAATTTCCTTCCCAGGGGGAGATGTAAACCAAT